TTTATAAATCAGACGCTGCCTTCAGAGACTCGTTTATAAATCAGAGACTCGTTTATAAATCAGACGCTGCCTTCAGAGACTCGTTTATAAATCAGACGCTGCCTTCAGCGACTCGTTTATAAATCAGCGCTGCCTTCAGAGACTTGTTTATAAATCAGCGCTGCCTTCAGAGACTCGTTAATAAATCAGCGCTGCCTTCAGAGACTCGTTAATAAATCAGACGCTGCCTTCGGGGACTCGTTTAGAAATCAGACGCTGCCTTCGGGACTCGTTTATAAATCAGACGCTGCCTTCAGAGACTCGTTTATAAATCAGCGCTGCCTTCAGGGACTTCTCAAATGCTGACATCACTTCCTGTGTCCCTGCAGAGCATGTGGAGCTGGTGAAGAGGACGATGGCGGCCGTGGCGCTGCCGTCCCTCGGCGTGCCGCCGTGGGCCCAGGGGATCTCAGACGACCAGTGGAAGGACATGGTCCAGCACACGCTGCAGGAGCGGCAGAGTTCTGCTGGGCTCAGGATGCTGCGTCGGAGCAACGTCCCAGGACCCTGAACACACCGTGACCTTTAAAATGAACTACACCATTCCCACAGAACCTGAACGCACCACAATGACTTAAACACACGCTGTCCCTGAATGGCGCCTCTGGGTCCCAGACCAAACCATGACTCTGGACTAAAATCTGAAGTGAGGTCATCAGTGATGTATTTAGTGACCAAACCTGCTGATTGTTTCCTGATTAAAAGTCTCCATGGTGATGAAGGTGTGTGTTCTGATGTAGAATCAGGAGGCGGGGCCAACCTGTGCTTCTGGATCTGTTTTATTTCTGCTTTTCATACATTAACATCTGAACAAAACCAGCTCTGCCCATGAAACCTTTAAACAGGATGACCGTGTGGCGCTCGGACCCGTTCTGTCCAGGATGGAGGGGGTGGAGCTTATCACAGCAGGACATGACCATCAGTAGCTGAAGGGGGCGTGGCCACAGGCTGTCAGGTACCTACTGCTAAGAAAACAGAAGGTCCAATAGAACTTTTAGATGTATCACAGCAGCAGAGCTCACAGGGGCCACGATGGCCGCTGTTCTGTCAGACCAACATACCTATAGTCAATACGCAGCGCAGGACGTCAGATTTGCGTTTATCCCTTTAGTGTTGTACGAAAAATAATCTTCTATGCTGGTCTGACAGAACACCGGGTCAACAGTTAGAGGTCGATCCACGGTAGGAAAGGAGCGCCCGCCCTAATCACTATATCGTGGTTATTTTAAATGACTGAATGTCTACTGGATGAAAAAGTAGTGGACTCAAAATTTCCCACAGTGCACCTTGAGATTTAGCGATCATCTACGAGCAGATATATCCTGGAATGCTTTGCATGGAGAGTTCTCCTCGCAAAGCATCATGGGATTTGCGGTCGCTACCTGACAGTGGCGACTAAAAACAAAGATGGAGCAGCACTGCGAGTCACGTGACCAACAGGGAGGAAAAAGCAGCGATTGTCTGAACGGTTAGCTAACCGAGTTCACTATAAAGTCCTGCTCTATGTAGCGATGGAGGGGTCAGAGGTCAGGGCGGACGCTCAGACAGCCTATAGCCCCATTTCCACTACTGATCCTTGCTGAGCTCGGTTCCTTACGACCGTTAAACCGCCACGCTAGCATGGCTCCTCACCTCCTAGTGGCGACCTACGGTACTACTGCTCTTTAGAGGGAAACAAGCAAACCAACATGGCGGCCTAACATTCAGGAAGTTTGCAGAGAGTCAGGCAGCCTTTGGTCAATTTCCTTGACAGTCGTTTTTTGGGAAGTGAATACGACAAACGATCGTCTAATCAGGGCATCGCACCGCTAAGCAGAACCATCACTAGAAATCGTGGCGCGGTTGGGAAGCTAGGATTTTACAGAGATGAGGCGGTCTGCTCATTGAGAACCGAGCCCTACTGATGAACTAGCACCATGCTAGCGCGGTGCGGCTCAGTTCTTTACGCTCAGCAGTTACCATGGTTACCGTGCTGGGACCGATCTCTGCTCGGTTTCTAAAGGGTAGTGGAAATTGGGCTAGTGACTATGCATCCTAATGACCTGCAATCCTGCAAAGGATTGTGGGAGATTGTACGGGAAGGTCAGGAGCGCCCATGCTAACGGTGATGGGAAGCGTCCTGCTTCCTCTCCTACCCCTGGAGGGCGCCGTGGTTCTTTCCCCCGGGCTGAATCAGCTACCGATTGGATCAGTTCTACAGCCTGTCGGGTCCAAATGGTTCCGACCTCCTGCGAAGAACCAGGATGGTCGAGCAAAACCTGCTGCTGAGCTCCTCCCCATCATCATCATCATCATCAGTGATGCTGAGCAGAACCAGTTTAATGTTCTGCCTGAAGCAGAAACCGGGTCGAGAAGGAACGGCTCTCTGTTGGCGCTCTGACAGACCACGCCTCTGATCGGACGTCTACATTCATGTGTCTCCTCGCCGAAGCTGCGTCTCTGATTGACTGAGTGAGGTTGTGCGGGACGTTCATCTGTGCTGCGTTCAGGTGCAGTAGAACGCAGCAGGTTCTGCTGCAGACCTCATCATCCTGGAATGTTTTCAGAGCTGAGATCTGACCTAAACCAACTAAAGGTCGGCCTGCGGCGCCACGGCAGGACAGGAGGGGAGGGGCGGAGCCAGTGGGGGTCAGAGGGCGGACCTTCAGGCTCCTGCTGTGGAACATTCTGCAGCTGATGATGCGTTCAGGTGCTCCATGCTGGTCTGAAGGACGTGGTGGGGGTGGGCGATGTCCAATCACAGTGGAGCACAGGGACAAAGAGGCGGAGCTTCTACAGTGTCCTACTTGTTAGCGACCACCAGGGGGCGGCCCTGAGTTCGTCTGCTCCGCCCCATCAGTCACTCCACCGCTCTGACCTCTGACCCCTTCAGGTGGAGGGGGTGGAGCTAACTCAGAAGGCACCGCCTCCCCCGGTCAGAGAGCCTCCTGATTGGCTGTCAGGTACTCCTCGGCCCGCTTGTGAGCCTCCAGAGCTTTGATGGTGTAGACGTCCTGCGGCAGCTCAGACTTCCTCCTCATCAGGACCTTCTCCTTCTTCAGGTCCTTCAGACCCTGCAGACCAACAGAGGAACGTCTGAGAAGCAGCTCCAGGATGGAGAACAGGTCACAGCTGCATGTTCCTACCTGTGAGGCCTCCTTCTCCACCGTCTTCTTCAGCAGCTGAATGTCCTCCGCTGTCGGCGTCTCCGTCTCCATGGAGTAGACGGCCAGACCGCCGTCGCTGTACATCAGGAACTGAGGGAGATGGGGTCAGAGGTCAATTAGCTGAACTCTAATAATCCCAAAGTTTCCCCACCTACAGGACTGGAACCTTCTGATGCTGGGACTAAACTGGGACCAATAAAGTTCATCGCTGTGGGAAAATGTTCCATTTGTTTGATTCTATCACCTTCCATCTCACCGCGTTCCCCACCTGGAGCAGGACGGGAATTATTCTGGCTTAAATCAAGCAGATTTCTATTTTCCTAAAGTTATCCAGATATTCTGACCTGTGCACTCAGGTAACTGGATCCTAGCTAATACCAGAGCTAACATCCCAGCTAACGTCTCTGCTTACGTCCAAACTAACATCCCAGGTAACATCATAACTAATGTTATAGCTAACATTCAAGTTAACATCCCAGCTAACCTTCCTGCTACTGTCAAAGCTAACGTCACAGCTAATGTCATAGCTAACATCATAGCTGATGTCCAAGTTATCATGGCCAACGTCCTAGCTAACGTCATAGCAAACATCCTAGCTAACGTCATAGCTAACATCCTAGTTAATATCCCAGCTAACCTTCCAGCTAATGTCAAAGCTAACTTCCCAGCTAATGTCATAGCTAACATCCTAGCTGATGTCCTAGTTAATGTCCCAGCTAACATCATAACGTTATAGCTAACGTCCAAGCTAACATCATAGCTGATGTCCAAGTTATCATGGCCAATGTCCTAGTTCACGTCCCAGCTAACGCCATAGCTAACGTTACAGCTAACGTCATAGCAAACATCCTAGCTAACGTCGTAGTTAACGTCCCAGCTAACCTTCCCGCTAATGTCACAGCTAACTTCACAACTAATGTCATAGCTAACATCCTTGCTAATGTCCTTGTTAATGTCCCAGCTAACGTCATAGCTAACGTTACAGCTGTCATAGCTAACATCCTAGCTAACGTCCTAGCTAACAGCCCAGCTAACATCATAGCTAACGTCATAGCTAACGTTCCTGCTAACGTCATAGCTAACGTTACAGCTGTCATAGCTAACATCCTAGCTAATGTCCTAGCTAACAGCCCAGCTAACATCATAGCTAACATCATAGCTAACGTTCCTGCTAACGTCATAGCTAACGTTCCAGCTAACATCACAGCTAACGTTCCTGCAAACGTCATAGCTAACATTCCAGCTAACGTCATAGCTAACGTCATAGCTAACGTTCCTGCTAACGTCATAGATAACATTCCTGCTAACGTCATAGCTAACATTCCAGCTAACGTCACAGCTAACGTTCCTGCAAACGTCATAGCTAACATTCCGGCTAATGTCATAGCTAACGTCATAGCTAACATTCCAGCTAACGTCATAGCTAACGTCATAGCTAACGTCCCTGCTAACGTCACAGCTAACAGTCCTGCTAATGTCATAGCTAACGTTTAAATGCTGTTTGGAATGTTTATGGGCACTGCCCCACAGTCTGGAAACGCTTTCATCACGGTTCTGTCAAATCCAACCAGAATATTAGAACCGCCATGTTTACGTCATCGTTTTAGTGCAGTCGGCCATTTTAGCTCAGACGGCACATAAACAGAACCACTGCTCTGTGCTCCCAGTGAGCTTAGCGGCCAGTAAACCTGCATGGTGGCGCCTCTGATGGAGCTTAGAAGGTCTGTGGGTGGAGACCAGACGGAGTCACTGTGACCCCCCCACCACCACCAGCCATCCCAGCTCCTCATTTAATCGCATTATAGAGTGATCCTGAACAAAAATAGTCTGATGGCCAGAAAGCACCGACCAACCACAGGTTACCGCAGCAACTAACCTCTTCCTGTGGGTGGAGTCCAGGCCGGAGGGGGTGGAGCTTAGAACTCTAAAGAGATACAATAA